ATCACCCCGCCCCATTCTCCCGCTTTCTATCACCCCGCCCCAGTCTCCCGCTTTCCATCACCCCGCCCCGTTCTCCTGCCGCTTTCTATCACCCCGCCCCATTCTCCCGCTTTCCATCATCCCGCCCCATTCTCCCGCTTTCCATCACCCCGCCCCATTCTCCCGCTTTTCATCACCCCGCCTATTCTCCCTCCTTCCATCACCCCGCCCCATTCTCCCTCCTTCCATCACCCTGCTCCGTTCTCCCGCTTTCCATCACCCCCGCTTTCCATCACCCACCTCATTCTCCCGCTTTCTATCATCCCGCCCCGTTCTCCCGCTTTCCATCACCCCGCCCCATTCTCCCGCTTTCCATCACCCCGCCCCATTCTCCCGCTTTCCATCACCCCGCCCCATTCTCCCGCTTTCCATCACCCCGCCCCATTCTCCCGCTTTCCATCACCCCGCCCCATTTCCCTGCTTTCCATCACCCCGCCCCATTCTCCCGCTTTCCATCACCCCGCCCCATTCTCCCGCTTTCCATCACCCCGCCCCATTCTCCCGCTTTCTATCACCCCGCCCCAGTCTCCCGCTTTCCATCACCCCGCCCCGTTCTCCCGCTTTCCATCACCCCGCCCCATTCTCCCGCTTTCTATCACCCCGCCCCAGTCTCCCGCTTTCCATCACCCCGCCCCGTTCTCCCGCTTTCCATCACCCCGCCCCATTCTCCCGCTTTCCATCATCCCGCCCCATTCTCCCGCTTTCCATCACCCCGCCCCATTCTCCCGCTTTCCATCACCCCGGCCTATTCTCCCTCCTTCCATCACCCCGCCCCATTCTCCCTCCTTCCATCACCCTGCTCCATTCTCCCGCTTTCCATCACCCCGCCCCATTCTCCCGCTTTCCATCACCCCGCCCCATTCTCCCGCTTTCCATCACCCCGCCCCATTCTCCCGCTTTCCATCACCCCGCCCCATTCTCCCCGCTTTCCATCACCCCGCCCCATTTCCCCGCTTTCCATCACCCCGCCCCATTCTCCCGCTTTCCATCACCCCGCCCCATTCTCCCGCTTTCCATCACCCCGCCCCATTCTCCAGCTTTCCATCACCCGCCCCATTCTCCCTCCTTCCATAACCCCGCCCCATTCTCCCTCCTTCCATCACCCCGCCCCATTCTCCCGCCTTCCATCACCCCGCCCCATTCTCCCGCTTTCCATCACCCCGCCCCATTTCCCCGCTTTACATCACCCCGCCCCATTCTCCCGCTTTCCATCACCCCGCCCCATTCTCCCGCTTTCCATCACCCCGCCCCATTCTCCAGCTTTCCATCACCCCGCCCCATTCTCCCTCCTTCCATAACCCCGCCCCATTCTCCCTCCTTCCATCACCCCGCCCCATTCTCCCGCCTTCCATCACCCCGCCCCATTCTCCCGCTTTCCATCACCCCGCCCCATTCTCACGCTTTCCATCACCCCGCCCCATTCTCCCGCTTTCTATCACCCCGCCCCAGTCTCCCGCTTTCCATCACCCCGCCCCGTTCTCCCGCTTTCTATCACCCCGCCCCCATTCTCCCGCTTTCCATCATCCCGCCCCATTCTCCCGCTTTCCATCACCCCGCCCCATTCTCCCGCTTTTCATCACCCCGGCCTATTCTCCCTCCTTCCATCACCCCGCCCCATTCTCCCTCCTTCCATCACCCTGCTCCGTTCTCCCGCTTTCCATCACCCCCGCTTTCCATCACCCACCTCATTCTCCCGCTTTCTATCATCCCGCCCCGTTCTCCCTCTTTCCATCACCCCGCCCCATTCTCCCGCTTTCCATCACCCGCCCCATTCTCCCGCTTTCCACCACCTCGCCCCATTCTCCCGCTTTCCATCACCCCGCCCCATTCTCCCGCTTTCCATCACCCCGCCCCATTCTCCCGCTTTCCATCACCCCGCCCCATTCTCCCGCTTTCCATCACCCCGCCCCATTCTCCCTCCTTCCATCACCCCGCCCCATTCTCCCTCCTTCCATCACCCCGCCTCATTCTCACGCTTTCCATCACCCCGCCGCATTCTCCCGCTTTCCATCACCCCGCCCCATTCTCCCGCTTTCCATCACCCTGCCCCATTCTCCCGCTTTCCATCACCCCGCCCCATTCTCCCGCTTTCCATCACCCCGCCCCATTCTCCCACTTTCCATCACCCCGCCCCATTCTCCCACCTTCCATCACCCCGCCCCATTCTCCCTTCTTCCGTCAACCCGCCCCATCCTCAAGCTTTCCATCACCCCGCCCCATTCTCCAGCTTTCCATCACTCCGCCCCATTCTCCCGCTTTCCATCACCCCGCCCCATTCTCCCGCTTTCCATCACCCCGCCCCATTCTCCCGCTTTCCATCACCCCGCCCCATTCTCCCGCTTTCCATCACCCCGCCCCATTCTCCCGCTTTCCATCACCCCGCCCCATTCTCCCGCTTTCCATCACCCCGCCCCATTCTCCCGCTTTCCATCACCCCGCCCCATTCTCCCGCTTTCCATCACCCCCGCCCCATTTCCCCGCTTTCCATCACCCCGCCCCATTCTCCCGCTTTCCATCACCCCGCCCCATTCTCCCGCTTTCCATCACCCCGCCCCATTCTCCAGCTTTCCATCACCCCGCCCCATTCTCCCTCCTTACATAACCCCGCCCCATTCTCCCTCCTTCCATCACCCCGCCCCATTCTCCCACCTTCCATCACCTCGCCCCATTCTCCCGCTTTCCATCACCCCGCCCCATTCTCACGCTTTCCATCACCCCGCCCCATTCTCCCACTTTCTATCACCCCGCCCCAGTCTCCCCGCTTTCCATCACCCCGCCCCGTTCTCCCGCTTTCCATCACCCCGCCCCATTCTCCCGCTTTCTATCACCCCGCCCCAGTCTCCCGCTTTCCATCACCCCGCCCCGTTCTCCCGCTTTCCATCACCCCGCCCCATTCTCCCGCTTTCCATCATCCCGCCCCATTCTCCCGCTTTCCATCACCCCGCCCCATTCTCCCGCTTTCCATCACCCCGGCCTATTCTCCCTCCTTCCATCACCCCGCCCCATTCTCCCTCCTTCCATCACCCTGCTCCATTCTCCCGCTTTCCATCACCCCGCCCCATTCTCCCGCTTTCCATCACCCCGCCCCATTCTCCCGCTTTCCATCACCCCGCCCCATTCTCCCGCTTTCCATCACCCCGCCCCATTCTCCCGCTTTCCATCACCCCGCCCCATTTCCCCGCTTTCCATCACCCCGCCCCATTCTCCCGCTTTCCATCACCCCGCCCCATTCTCCCGCTTTCCATCACCCCGCCCCATTCTCCAGCTTTCCATCACCCCGCCCCATTCTCCCTCCTTCCATAACCCCGCCCCATTCTCCCTCCTTCCATCACCCCGCCCCATTCTCCCGCCTTCCATCACCCTGCCCCATTCTCCCGCTTTCCATCACCCCGCCCCATTTCCCCGCTTTACATCACCCCGCCCCATTCTCCCGCTTTCCATCACCCCGCCCCATTCTCCCGCTTTCCATCACCCCGCCCCATTCTCCAGCTTTCCATCACCCCGCCCCATTCTCCCTCCTTCCATAACCCCGCCCCATTCTCCCTCCTTCCATCACCCCGCCCCATTCTCCCGCCTTCCATCACCCCGCCCCATTCTCCCGCTTTCCATCACCCCGCCCCATTCTCACGCTTTCCATCACCCCGCCCCATTCTCCCGCTTTCTATCACCCCGCCCCAGTCTCCCGCTTTCCATCACCCCGCCCCGTTCTCCCGCTTTCTATCACCCCGCCCCATTCTCCCGCTTTCCATCATCCCGCCCCATTCTCCCGCTTTCCATCACCCCGCCCCATTCTCCCGCTTTTCATCACCCCGGCCTATTCTCCCTCCTTCCATCACCCCGCCCCATTCTCCCTCCTTCCATCACCCTGCTCCGTTCTCCCGCTTTCCATCACCCCCGCTTTCCATCACCCACCTCATTCTCCCGCTTTCTATCATCCCGCCCCGTTCTCCCTCTTTCCATCACCCCGCCCCATTCTCCCGCTTTCCATCACCCGCCCCATTCTCCCGGTTTCCATCACCCAACCCGATTCTCCCGCCTTCCATCACCCCGCCCCATTCTCCCGCTTTCCATCACCCCGCCCCATTCTCCCGCTTTCCATCTCCCCGCCCCATTCTCCCGCTTTCCATCACCTCGCCCCATTCTCCCTCTTTCCATCACCCCGCCCCATTCTCCCGCTTTCCATCACCCCGCACCATTCTCCCACTTTCCATAACCCCGCCCCATTCTCCCTCCTTCCATCACCCCGCCCCATTCTCCCGCTTTCCATCACCCCGCCCCATTCTCCCGCTTTACATCACCCCGCCCCATTCTCCCGCTTTCCATCACCCCGCCCCATTCTCCCGCTTTCCATCACCCCGCCCCATTCTCCCGCTTTCCATCACCCCGCCCCATTCTCCAGCTTTCCATCACCCCGCCCCATTCTCCCGCTTTCCATCACCTCGCCCCATTCTCCCGCTTTCCATCACCCCGGCCCATTCTCCCGCATTCCATCACCCCTCCCCATTCTCCCCCTTTCCATTACCCCGCCCCATTCTCCCTCCTTCCATCACCCCGCCCCATTCTCCCGCTTTCCATCACCCCGCCCCATTCTCCCGCTTTACATCACCCCGCCCCATTCTCCCGCTTTCCATCACCCCGCCCCATTCTCCCGCTTTCCATCACCCCGCCCCATTCTCCCGCTTTCCATCACCCCGCCCCATTCTCCCGCTTTCCATCACCCCGCCCCATTCTCCCGGTTTCCATTACCCCGCCCCATTCTCCCGCTTTCCATCACCTCGCCCCATTCTCCCGCTTTCCATCACCCCGGCCCATTCTCCCGCATTCCATCACCCCTCACCATTCTCCCACTTTCCATAACCCCGCCCCATTCTCCCTCCTTCCATCACCCCGCCCCATTCTCCCGCTTTCCATCACCCCGCCCCATTCTCCCGCTTTACATCACCCCGCCCCATTCTCCCGCTTTCCATCACCCCGCCCCATTCTCCCGCTTTCCATCACCCCGCCCCATTCTCCCGCTTTCCATCACCCCGCCCCATTCTCCCGGTTTCCATTACCCCGCCCCATTCTCCCGCTTTCCATCACCTCGCCCCATTCTCCCGCTTTCCATCACCCCGGCCCATTCTCCCGCATTCCATCACCCCTCCCCATTCTCCCCCTTTCCATTACCCCGCCCCATTCTCCCGCGTTCCATCACCCCGCCCCATTCTCCCGCTTTCCATCACCCCGCCCCATTCTCCCGCTTTACATCACCCCGCCCCATTCTCCATCCTTCCATCACCCCGCCCCATTCTCCCTTCTTCAATCACCCCGCCCCATTCTCCCACTTTCCATCACCCCGCCCCATTCTCCCGCTTTACATCACCCCGCCCCATTCTCCATCCTTCCATCACCCCGCCCCATACTCCCGCTTTCCATCACCCCGCCCCATTCTCCCGCTTTCCATCACCCCGCCCCATTCTCCCGCTTTACATCACCCCGCCCCATTCTCCATCCTTCCATCACCCCGCCCCATACTCCCGCTTTCCATCACCCCGCCCCATTCTCCCGCTTTCCATCACCCCGCCCCATTCTCCCGCTTTCCATCACCCCGCCCCATTCTCCCGCTTTACATCACCCCACCCCATTCTCCATCCTTCCATCACCCCGGGGAATGGGGCGGGGTGATGGAAAGCGGGAGAATGGGGCAGGGTGTGGAAAGCGGAAGAATGGGTCGGGGTGATGGAAAGTGGGAGAACGGGGCGGGGTGATGGAAAGCGGGAGAATGGGGCGGGGTGATGGAAAGCGGGAGAATGGGGCGGGGCGACGGAAAGCGGGAGAATGGGGCGGGGTGATGGAAAGCGGGAGAATGGGGCAGGGTGATGGAAAGCAGGAGAATGGGGCGGGGTGATGGAAAGCGGGAGAATGGGGCGGGGTGATGGAAAGCGGGAAAATGGGGCGGGGTGATGGAAGGAGGGAGAATGGGGCGGGGTGATGGAAAGTGGGAGAAAGGGGTGGGGTGATGGAAGGAGGGAGAATGGGGCGGGGTGATGGAAAGCGGGAGAATGGGGTGGGGTGATCGAAAGCGGGAGAATGGGGCGGGGTGATGGAAAGCGGGAGAATGGGGCGGGGTGATGGAACGCGGGAGAATGGGGCGGGGTGATGGAAGGAGGGAGAATGGGGCGGGGTAATGGAAAGGGGGAGAATGGGGAGGGGTGATGGAATGCGGGAGAATGGGGTGGGGTGATCGAAGGATAGAGAATGGGGCGGGGTCATGGAAAGCGGGAGAATGGGGCGGGGTGATGGAAAGCGGGAGAATGGAGTGGGGTGATGGAAAGCGGGAGAATGGGGCGGGGTGATGGAAAGCGGGAGAATGGGGCGGGGTGATGGAAAGCGGGAGAATGGGGCGGGGTGATGGAAGGAGGGAGAATGGGGCGGGGTGATGGAAAGCGGGAGAATGGGGTGGGGTGATGGAAAGCGGAAGAATGGGGCGGGGTGATGGAAAGCGGAAGAATGGGGCTGGGTGATGGAAAGCGGGAGAACCCACTTTCCATCACCCCGCCCCATTCTCCCGCTTTCCATCACCCAGCCCCATTCTTCCGCTTTCCATCACCCCGCCCCATTCTCCCGCTTTCCATCACCCCGCCCCATTCTCCCGCTTTCCATCACCCCGCCCCATTCTCCCGCTTTCCATCACCCCACTCAATTCTCCCGCTTTCCATCACCCCGCCCCATTCTCCCGCTTTCCATCACCCCGCCCCATTCTCCCGCTTTCGATCACCCCGCCCCTTTCTCCCGCTTTCCATCACCCCGCCACATTCTCCCTCCTTCCATCACCCCTCCCCTTTCTCCCGCTTTCCATCACCCCGCCCCATTCTCCCTCCTTCCATCACCCCGTCCCATTCTCCCGCTTTCCATCACCCCACCCCATTCTCCCGCTTTCCATCACCCCGCCCCATTCTCCCGCTTTCCATCACCCCGCCCCATTCTCCCGCTTTCCATCACCCCGGCCCATTCTCCCTCCTTCCATCACCCCGCCACATTCTCCCTCCTTCCATCACCCTGCTCCATTCTCCCGCTTTCCATCACCCCGCCCCATTCTTCCGCTTTCAATCACCCCGCCCCATTCTCCCGCTTTCCATCACCCCGCCCCATTGTCCCGCTTTCCATCACCCCGCCCCATTCTCCCTCCTTCCATCACCCCGCCTCATTCTCACGCTTTCCATCATCCCGCCCCATTCTCCCACTTTCTATCACCCCGCCCCATTCTCCCGCTTTCCATCACCCAGCCCCATTCTTCCGCTTTCCATCACCCCGCCCCATTCTTCCGCTTTCCATCACCCCACCCCATTCTCCCGCTTTCCATCACCCCGCCCCATTCTCCCTCCTTCCATCACCCCGCCCCATTCTCCCGCTTTCCATCACCCCGCCCCATTCTCCCGCTTTCCATCACCCCGCCCCATTCTCCCGCTTTCCATCACCCCGCCCCATTCTCCCGCTTTCCATCACCCCGCCCCATTCTCCCTCCTTCCATCACCCCGCCCCATTCTCCCGCTTTCCACCATCCCGCCCCATTCTCCCGCTTTCCATCACCCCGCCCCATTCTCCCGCTTTCCATCACCCCACCCCATTCTCCCGCTTTCCATCACCCCGCCCCATTCTCCCGCTTTCGATCACCCCACCCCATTCTCAAGCTTTCCATCACCCCGCCACATTCTCCCTCCTTCCATCACCCCGCCCCATTCTCCCTCCTTCCATCACCCCACCCCTTTCTCCCGCTTTCCATCACCCCGCCCCATTCTCCCTCCTTCCATCACCCCGCCCCATTCTCCCGCCTTCCATCACCCCGCCCCATTCTCCCGCTTTCCATCACCCCGCCCCATTCTCCCGCTTTCCATCACCCCGCCCCATTCTCCCGCTTTCCGTCACCCCGCCCCATTCTCCCTTCTTCCATCACCCCGCCTCATTCTCACGCTTTCCATCACCCCGCCCCATTCTCCCACTTTCCATCACCCCGCCCCATTCTCCCGCTTTCCATCACGCAGCCCCATTCTTCCGCTTTCCATCACCCCGCCCCATTCTCCCGCTTTCCATCACCCCGCCCCGTTCTCCCGCTTTCCATCACCCCGCCCCATTCTCCCTCCTTCCATCACCCCGCCCCATTCTCCCGCTTTCCATCACCCCGCCCCATTCTCCCGCTTTCCATCACCCCGCCCCATTCTCCCGCTTTCCATCACCCCACTCAATTCTACCGCTTTCCATCACCCCGCCCCATTCTCCCGCTTTCCATCACCCCGCCCCATTCTCCCGCTTTCGATCACCCCGCCCCTTTCTCCCGCTTTCCATCACCCCGCCACATTCTCCCTCCTTCCATCACCCCACCCCTTTCTCCCGCTTTCCATCACCCAGCCCCATTCTCCCGCTTTCCATCACCCCGCCCCATTCTCCCTCCTTCCATCACCCCGTCCCATTCTCCCGCTTTCCATCATCCCGCCCCATTCTCCCGCTTTCCATCACCCCGCCCCATTCTCCCGCTTTCCATCACCCCACCCCATTCTCCCGCTTTCCATCACCCCGCCCCATTCTCCCGCTTTCCATCACCCCGCCCCATTCTCCCGCTTTCCATCACCCCGGCCCATTCTCCCCCCTTCCATCACCCCGCCACATTCTCCCTCCTTCCATCACCCTGCTCCATTCTCCCGCTTTCCATCACCCCGCCCCATTCTTCCGCTTTCAATCACCCCGCCCCATTCTCCCGCTTTCCATCACCCCGCCCCATTGTCCCGCTTTCCATCACCCCGCCCCATTCTCCCTCCTTCCATCACCCCGCCTCATTCTTACACTTTCCATCATCCCGCCCTATTCTCCCACTTTCTATCACCCCGCCCCATTCTCCCGCTTTGCATCACCCAGCCCCATTCTTCCGCTTTCCATCACCCCGCCCCATTCTTCCGCTTTCCATCACCCCACCCCATTCTCCCGCTTTCCATCACCCCACTCCATTCTCCCGCTTTCCATCACCCCGCCCCATTCTCCCGCTTTCCATGACCCCGCCCCATTCTCCCGCTTTCCATCACCCCGCCCCATTCTCCCGCTTTCCATCACCCCGCCCCATTCTCCCTCCTTCCATCACCCCGCCCCATTCTCCCGCTTTCCATCATCCCGCCCCATTCTCCCGCTTTCCATCACCCCGCCCCATTCTCCCGCTTTCTAACACCCCACCCCATTCTCCCGCTTTCCATCACCCCGCCCCATTCTCCCGCTTTCGATCACCCCACCCCATCCTCAAGCTTTCCATCACCCCGCCACATTCTCCCTCCTTCCATCACCCCGCCCCATTCTCCCTCCTTCCATCACCCCGCCCCATTCTCCCGCTTTCCATCATCCCGCCCCATTCTCCCGCTTTCCATCACCCCGCCCCATTCTCCCGCTTTCTAACACCCCACCCCATTCTCCCGCTTTCCATCACCCCGCCCCATTCTCCCGCTTTCGATCACCCCACCCCATTCTCAAGCTTTCCATCACCCCGCCCCATTCTCCCTCCTTCCATCACCCCACCCCTTTCTCCCGCTTTCCATCACCCCGCCCCATTCTCCCTCCTTCCATCACCCCGCCCCATTCTCCTGCCTTCCATCACCCCGCCCCATTCTCCCGCTTTCCATCACCCCGCCCCATTCTCCCGCTTTCCATCACCCCGCCCCATTCTCCCGCTTTCCGTCACCCCGCCCCATTCTCCCTTCTTCCATCACCCCGCCTCATTCTCACGCTTTCCATCACCCCGCCCCATTCTCCCACTTTCCATCACCCCGCCCCATTCTCCCGCTTTCCATCACCCAGCCCCATTCTTCCGCTTTCCATCACCCCGCCCCATTCTTCCGCTTTCCATCACCCCTACCCATTCTCCCGCATCCATCACCCCGCCCCATTCTCCCTCCTTCCATCACCCCGCCCCATTCTCCCGCTTTCCATCACCCCGCCCCATTCTCCCGCTTTCCATCACCCCACTCCATTCTCCCGCTTTCCATCACCCCACCCCATTCTCCCGCTTTCCATCACCCCGCCCCATTCTCCCGCTTTTGATCACCCCGCCCCTTTCTCCCGCTTTCCATCACCCCGCCACATCCTCCCTCCTTCCATCACCCCACCCCTTTCTCCCGCTTTCCATCACCCAGCCCCATTCTCCCGCTTTCCATCACCCCGCCCCATTCTCCCGCTTTCCATCACCCCGCCCCATTCTCCCGCTTTCCATCACCCCGCCCCATTCTTCCGCTTTCCACACCCTGCCCCATTCTCCCGCTTTCCATCACCCCGCCCCATTCCCCGGGGTGATGGAAGGATGGAGAATGAGGTGGGGTGATGTAAAGCAGGAGAATGGGGCGGGGTGATGGAAAGCGGGAGAATGGGGCGGGGTGATGGAAAGTGGGAGAATGGAGCGGGGTGATTGAAGAAGGGAGAATGGGGCGGGGTGATGGAAGGATGGAGAATGGGGCGGGGTGATGTAAAGTGGGAGAATGGTTCGGGGTGATGGAAAGCGGGAGAATGGGGCGGGGTGATGGAAGCCGGGAGAATGGGGCGGGGTGATGGAACGTGGGAGAATGGGGCGGGGTGATGGAAGGAGGGAGAATGGGGCGGGGTAATGGAAAGGGGGAGAATGGGGAGGGGTGATGGAATGCGGGAGAATGGGCCGGGGTGATGGAAAGCGGGAGAATGGGGCGAGGTGATGGAAAGCGGGAGAATGGGGCGGGGTAATGGAAACCGGGAGAATGGGGCGGGGTGATGGAAAGCGGGAGAATGGGGCGGGGTGATGGAAAGCGGGAGAATGGGGCGGGGTGATGGAAAGCGGGAGAATGGGGCGGGGTGATGTAAAGCGGGAGAATGGGGCGGGGTGATGGAAAGCGGGAGAATGGGGCGGGGTGATGGAAGGAGGGAGAATGGGGCGGGGTTATGGAAAGTGGGAGAATGGTGCGGGGTGATGGAAAGCGGGAGAATGGGGCGGGGTGATGGAAAGAGGGAGAATGGGGCGAGGTGATGGAAAGCGGGAGAATGGGGCGGGGTGATGGAAAGCGGGAGAATGGGGCGGGGTGATGGAAAGCGGGAGAATGGGGCGGGGTGATGGAAGGCGGGAGAATCGGGTGGGGTGATGGAAACCGGGAGAATGGGGCGGGTGATGGAAAGCGGGAGAATGGGGCGGGGTGATGGAAAGCGGGAGAATGGGGCGGGGTGATGGAAAGCGGGAGAATGGGGCGGGGTGATGGAAAGCGGGAGATTGGGCCGGGGTGATGGAAAGCGGGAGAATGGGGCGGGGTGATGGAAAGCGGGAGAATGGGGCGGGGTGATGGAAAGCGGGAGAATGGGGCGGAGTGATGGAAAACGGGATAATGGTGTTGAGTTATGCTACCATTCGCATTCACGTCTGTCTGCCTCCCATCATATGTTCGTGCGTTGCATGCGTGTTGTGAGTGTGTGCAAGAATTTGTGTTTTGTGCGGTTTGGTTTTTCTGAGTGTGTTTGTGAATGTTATTTGGCTTGAGCAGATATCTGAAGTGACTCCTCTGCTCAAGAGCTTTCCGAGGAACCAAGTATCGCTTCAATCGGAGCACGAACAAGAAAGTTACGAACGTTGGAGTTCGTATGCTTTTGATATTTGGTTGTGGTGACTATGGGAAGTTGTGGGGTTGACTCAATATGGGGTACAGACTTTTGGGGGTTGGGAAATTCGTCTTTTCTACTGTAGTTGCTGCCAAATGGTTGGGAGAAACCAAACCAGGTTGGCAAGTGTGGCCAAGTTGGGTTGAGGTGGATTGTGGAGGTTGGGATAGTGACAAAGGTCAAAGTTGGGTTGCCTATGGGGAAGGGAATTGTGTGGCATGGAGTTTCCTTTGGTTGGGGACTCCTTGGGACCTTCCCTCTCGTCCTCCTCATCCCTTCCACCTGGTTTAGTGCTACTCCAATTCTCTTGTGTGAACTTGTGTGAACATTGTGATTGAGTTACGTTTTCTATGGCAGCATACCCCCTAGTGCGCCGAAGTTCATAACTCGAGTTATACTCCATATTCTGATACTATTCAAATTGGGAAAGATAGCCACGGTCAAGGGCTACAACATACTCGAGTTTGAAAGAATTCTAACAGTGGACCTTTCGTCGACGACGTTTCTTGTGACGACGACTTTTCTGTCCAGAATTGTAGTTGACGATTTTGAGATATTTCAGCCCCTAATCTTCATAGACTCCGTCCTTAATCTCTAACAAGTGGTATCAGAGGTGATTAAGGACCTTGTGGGGAGTCTACTGAAGTGTGAAGACCCTCCTAGACCCACCATGGCCTGTGGGCGTGCCTAAGTGGAGTTCTGGAGGTTGGATGTGACTTCCGCTAAGGGGAAACTCTGCCGAAATTTCGTTGGCGCTGACACTTGTGAAGATTGTGTGGATCTACATTGTGACCAGCAAAAGGGGGAGCTGAAACCTCTGATTGGGAGCAGAGGAGATGAATCAAGGGAGTGGAGATGCAGCTGAGAAGAGGAGTGAGCCGCCACCATCCAAGATTGAAGCTTTGGATGGCTCCAACTATGAGGAATGGAGCGGGCGGATGCGGAGCGCCTTCAAGCGCTACAAGCTGCTGAAAATTGCAATGGGAGAGGAGAAGATGCCGGGGGAAGGAGATGCCCGCGATCGGTGGATTGAGAAGAGCGCGGTGCTGTACGACCTCATCCTCCAATCGGTCAACAACGACATGTTCCAGCACATCAAGGATTTGGTGGAGTTGGATGATTCCGGACCGAAGGCATGGAAGCTACTACGCGACGTGATTCAGCCCAACACGCTGCCGATGGTGATTGTGTTGGAGAAGGAGTTGGCTGCCCTCTCCATGAAACCGGGAGATGATGTGAAACCGGTCCTTGACAAGATCAAGGACACCTATGCGAGGATGGCAGCGGCGGGCAGCGAAGTGTCGCAGATGCAACAGTGCACCAAGATCATCTCGGTGCTCGACAACTCGTGGGACAACCTCATCCCCACCCTCAACGTTCAGCAGGACAAATGGACGCCTGAGTGGCTACGGCAGCAGATTCTGCAGGAGGACTTCCGCAGACGCCACACGGGAGGTGGTGCTGCCAACAATACTGCTGAGGGGTATGGAGCTGCAGGAGGCAGCAGAGGAAGAGGGGGAGGGAGAGGCCGAGGCCGTGGGAGAGGCTTTGGCAGAGGGAGAGGCCGAGGTGACTACAATGAGGGGCATGGGAGCTCTGGTGGCAGGGGGAGCACCCGAATGGAGGGTGCGTGCTGGTACTGCAAGAAGGCTGGACACCCGTGGTTCAAGTGTTTCAGCCGGCCTGAGGGATGGGCCCCTCCAGGCATGAAGCCGCCAAGTGGTGAACGTGCACGCGGTGGCGCTGTGCAAGGTTCAGGTGCACAAGGTGATGGTGCACAAGGTAAAGCCGACCCTGGGATGTTCCTCATGGTTGAGGATGTGCAAGGGAGTGGGGGTGATGTGGGTTCAGTTGGGAAGGTTGTGATGCACCCCCTCACTCACTGGGTGATCGATTCAGGTTGCACGAGTCATATGACCCCACGGGCAGATTTGCTTGATGAGGTAAAACCTCCTGGGAAGATCAAGTTTGTGGCTGCCGCTTCAGGTGCTTTGCTCCCTGTGATTGGTGTTGGGAATGCCAAGGTGATGGGAGCCAATGGAGAGCTTGTGGGGCTTGGGAATGTGCTGTTGGTTGAAGGTTTGTCCGCTAACCTTCTTTCTGTGCGCCGGCTGCAGAAGAGCAAGGCTGAAGTTACCTTCGGCCCAACCAGCTGCCGTGCAAAGCTTGGGAAGTTGTTGCTGTGGAAATTGGAGGAGAAGAGCAGCTGCATCAAGGACTTGTGGCAGCTGCCCATCATCCCTTGGAAGGGGAAACCACCAGCAACGGCAAAGGCAGCGGCAGCGGCTAAAGCAACTGCGGGAGGAGAGGAGACTGCACCAACTGCTGGGGCCCTGGATGCAGTCAAGAAGGTGCAGCAGCCACAACAGCCACATGGTGAGGTGCTTGCTGGTGTGGATGCGACAGCTGCATGGGCAAAGGCTTCATCTGGGAGTGGTGAGGCTGATTGGGAGACGTGGCATGAGAGGCTGTGCCATGTGAACATTCCTATGCTGCAGAAGTTGGTAAAGGATGGGTGCTTGAAGGGGCTGGAGGTGAAGGGGGGAGCAAAGGAGATTGGGAGCTGCCCTACCTGCCTTGAGACCAAATTCACGAAGTTTCCCTTCAGAAGCAGCACAGGACCAGCCAAGGCACCACTTTCACTAGTGCACATGGATGTGGTGGGCCCCACGAGGGCCCTTTCTCTCTCGGGCAGCCGCTACTTCTTGACGATTGTGGACGACCACACGCGTGCGGTGTGGGTGTACCCTCTCAAGACTAAGGGGGAGGTGGCAGCGGCTGTTCTTAAGGAGTGGATGCCGAGAGCACAAAGGGAAAGCGGACACAAGGTGAAGGTGATCCGCACTGACAACGGAGGAGAGTTCATCGGCGCTGATTTTGAGAAGGAGCTGAAGCGGAAGGGGATCCAGCATCAGCTCACAGTGCCTTACAACCCTCAGCAGAATGGCGTGGCTGAGCGGTTCAACCGGACCCTGCAGGAAGGTGCTCGCACTCTCCTTGGGCGTGCAGGGCTGCCGGATCCGTTTTGGGTGACAGCACTGCGGCAGGTCGTTGTTGTGAAGAACAGGGTGCTGGCGACTGTGGGGGACAAGCAGTGGGTCCCCTACACCAAGTGGTATGGGATTGCACCAGCTGTGAACATGCTGAGAGCCTTTGGGTGCATGGTGGTGTTTCATGTGCCTAAGGAGAAGAGGGGAAAACTGGAAGCTTCTGGGAGATGGGGTGTGCACTTGGGGCTTGCTAAGGATCACAAGGGCTGGCTGATTTGGGACTTGACCAGCCAGCAGCTGAGTGTGTCAAGGGATGTGAAGTTCCTTGAGTCCTTGTACTACACTGAGGTGGAGGAGCAGCAGCAGCAGCAACAGCAGCAGCAGCCGCAGCAGCAGGAGGAGCAAGGTGCTCCACAAGGTGCCGGACGTACGGCTGACCGTCCTAGGAGGGATGTGCGCCCTCCTAACAGGCTGACCTATGCAAGCCGTGGCAAGCCAAAGGTGGTAAGGGCTGGGAGTGTGGCTGAGCAGTGTGATGAGGATGAGATAGCACACTGCTACTGGGCAGCCGTCCCTGAGCCCAAGACGCTAGCTGAGGCATTGAGCGGGCCCGATGCTGAAAAGTGGAAGCAGAGTGTGAAGGAGGAGTATGATTCTCTGCTAGAGAATGAGACGTGGGAGCTGTGTGAGCTGCCACCTGGGAAGAAGGCCATTTCTTCCAAGCTGATTTTCAGGTACAAGTACGG